CTAACCCCTAATTGCATTTTAAAAGAAAAACTCGAGATGGGTTTTTGGCCTTGGGCAGCTGTGAGGGAAGCCTTGCAGCTGTGGCTTTACTGTCACTCTGGGAAGGCTAGATGTCAGCAGCCAGATCAAGTCAATGGCACATTAACAACTGATAATGGTAGTTAACTTACTTGGTTAACTATGTGAGCACAAGCTTCACCCCTGAGCATGTGGACTTCCAGCTCCCAGGCTTGTCTCCAGCCACCTTTGACTCTCGGCTCTTATTCACTGGTAATACAGAAACCTGGAGCACATTAAGTGGAGGGGACGGTTTACAATAAAAGCTCATGAATTGATTCCGTGACCCAGCAGAGGCTATTAAAAATGATTGAATGAATATGGAAATGAGTAATCGTACAGCTGGACCCGGGGCTGAACGCGGCCAACTCCATTCAATGCAAACCGCAAAGAAACCAAGGCGCACGCAAAGCCCCCAGAGTCTCTAGGTCGTGGTGTGAGCTGCAGGAAGTTGCCCTCGGCTTTCCATCACGGTTACCTGTCCTCCTTGTGCTGTGGGTTCTCCTCGGCACCTGTGTGTTTAGACTCATCCTTCCTCTCCAAAGACTGCACGAACAGGGATCTCCTATCCCACGCAAGCGCTTGGCCAGCCTCTGTGCTAGGGGAAATGGGGGGCATCAGAGCCCCCATCCCTGGCGCCCAAATCCTGGCTGTTCCCACACGCACGCTTGGCTCCTCCTGCCCACATTCACAAGGATCAGAAAATAATCCCGGGCTGCCTCGCCTTCCAGCCGCCCGCGCTGGATCCCAGGAAGCCGGATTCCTTGTTGGCTGGTCAGAGACCCAAGGAAGCAAGCGATAGAAACCTTCCAACACGTTTTTTCAAATGTTTGATATCTGCAATTAAAGGCAAACCTGGGCCAACGAGCAGCAGAAAGAATGAAAAGCGAAGCAGTCCCCTGGCTGTAAGGGTACAGACACGGGGCTTTAGGCTCTCCTTCAGCCTCGCTTTCTCTGTGGCCAGCTGAGGAAGAGATGGAGGAAGGAGGTTGTCGTAGGAAACATGCCACAGAGAGGTATAGCGTAACACATTTATTCAAGAAATGCACACCAGAATCCCACTTACATTACGTACAGAGACTAAAGGTTTGTTCTTATTTCCCAAGGACTCTGCAGTCGTGTCCCCCCTCCGGGCCAGAGCGCCAGCACACCTGGTATTGAGGGGTGGAAGGGGTGGGCTGAAGACCTTAGTGGTCTAGAAGGAGGGGCAGGAAGGACAAGCTACGAGTGTGCCACGTGTTGAGCGGGCTTCCACCTCCAGCACGAGCCCAGAGGGCAGAAACTACGGTGCTGCCGCAGCTGCCTTGTCAGTACAAGGCTGGTAGGTGCAGTTTTGCCACGCTGCCCTGCTTGGGCAGCCTTCGGGCCTGCGTGCCAGCATCAGTCAAAGACGAAGGCTCGTTACTGTGAGAGCAGCGGCAATCTCCGTGCAGGTCATGGGGAGGATCGATGAGTTCTGGAGCAATAACTGATTCTGCCTGTGTCCAAGCATGGTCTTCATTTCAGATGCTGCTGCATCACCAGACCGGTATTTGCCCCTGAGGAGGAACATTCAGTGGTGTTGGGTGAGCTCACAGCAGAAACCTGCCCATGACCCCCTCACCCGAAGCAGCTTTCTTCCCCTGCAGCCTTCTCCCAACGGATGACTCTCTCCCCCCTTCCCATCCATCACTCCTGGCTTTCAGGCCACTGTCAGAAACCTCCTGCAAAGAGACAATGGCAGCCCAGGGTCCCCATTCACCCGTGGAGAAAAGGGCCTGTGCGTGTGGAGTGATAAATGGTTTGTCCCCAGCTGGAGACAGAGGGCTGGATGCTCCCCATCAGCCGCAGGAGGGCAGCCCTTTGTCTTGCTCTGGAGGGATGGAGCAGAGGTCGGCCCCCGGTCTCAGGCTTCCTGGCACCTCTCAGTTTGAGGTCTTCTGTGGTGATGCGAGAGCCCAGGCTTCCCGCACAGCCCTCTTCTTGCCATAGCTCAAAGCCTCCCATGCGGCTGGCGTTTGGTCTCCAGCTGTGCTCCGGAGGATACCGGTGCAAGAGTCCTCCCGCCTGCCGCGACGCCTCTGGCGTTATTTACAGACGTATCTCTCCACCTTCCGCCGACACTTCTTGCACACCACGTAGCAGCACCAGTGATACTTGCAGTGACACCTCTCCACCACCTCCTCCATGTAGGCGTTGTAGCCGCGGCCGCAGCACATCAGGTTGCAACTGTCGCTGCCCAGGGAGGTCTTGTTGCACTGCCTGCCGAGGGGAGGATGCACGAGCGGGAGCTGAGGGACCGTGCCTGCCCACCCACGGCCGTGGTGCCGACCACAGCTATCATCTGCCCTGGCCTCCTCCCAGAGCTTACGTGCCCGTCGCAGGAGGTGGCACGAGGCTTCCCCATCCCTCTAAAAACCCCCCCCCCCACGCCGATCGCTCCAGAAAGGAACATCTGGGAAGCACCGCAGACTCCAAGGGCTGCTGAACTGTTCTGGTTACTGGCAGGCAGCACCCAAAGGCTTGCAGGGAGAGGTGATGCTTCCCTTCCTGACTCCTCACTGGATGGATCCTGTGCTGGAGAGCGGAGCTGATGGACTCTGCATAGCTCTGTAAGAACGATATCTGCCTGCCTGCCCTTGGGCCTTAAAGATGCACAGATTTTGCAGCAGTCCCTGCGGTGTCCACCTCTAACGGGGGACAGCCCACCCACCCCAGGTTCCCGCAGCGTGCTCTCAAACCCAGTGGTACAGATACTCCTGAAACAGGAGGCTCAGAGTGTATTTGCAGCAGTTTCTTACCTATCCTGGGTCCCCAGAGACCCCAGGTGGAGATTCGGCGTGCAGTAGTCAGGAGAGTTGATGAGATAAACCAGATCTGTCCCTTTCACTGGCCTGGCGTCCGTTTCTTTGGGAATCAGCTGCTTCCGGGGCCCTACGAGCCGGTGGGTCACCTTGATGGCTGCCAGGTACTTGGACTTGAGGTCAGAGGCAATTTCATCCAGGTTTGGCAGTCCCTTCCAACAGGTCTTCACCGAACAGGAGCCTGAAACACCATGGCACTTACACTTGGTATCCAGGGAGTCACCCAGCACCTGCAGAGGACAGGAAAACAGATTAATTTGCTTCTGCTTTCTCCTGGTACTCACCCTATGGTTTGATTTGCAAGAGCATGCATGGGAAGTTTCAAGAGATCAAAGAGCTCAGCTGTGTACTGCTGCCTTTAAATGAATATAAGGGGGCAATCAAGGACTCAACCTTGCTTCATCCTCCCGTGTGAGAAGAACCTAACCCTTGGGAACTCCTTGCTGGAGCTTCCAGCGGGGCTGGTGGCTTCCCTAGGCACCACGACATGCTGGCACAGCACAGCCACGTCCTCACCTGGGGAACACGAGTGCCTGAAAGCACAAAACCCCGCAGCTCTCCGCAGGGCTGGGGAGCCCAGCTAGAGCGGAGCGGGACGAACCTCGGCTTCCCACGACAGGGGTGGAAAGAAGTACTGGAAGTACTGGTGTGAAGCGGGCAAATATCTTGTGCTAGTTGTGGAAAGGGTGCGGGGATGTTTGGGAGGTGGGAAGCAGCGGGGGATGTCTCTGCAAACACACCTAACTCTGTTTTAACCCTTTAGTTTCCCCTCTGACTTTAAGGACAGCATCCCAAGAGCCTGACCAGAGTCTACCTCCTTGCATTAGGCACCTCTGCCCCCCAGGCTGTTGTAAGGCGTGCAGCAATCCGAGGTGGGCTCCGTACCCACCTGCCTGCCCACCGCATTGTTATGCAGATTCATGGCCTTGAGCGCTTGTGTCCCCAGTTTGCTGGATTTTAAGGGACTGTCAGCAAAAGCGGTGCCAAGCTGGAGGCCGTAGCGCAGGTTGTCCCCGCAGCCGCCCCATCTGAAGTCCGGCCCGGGGACCTCCGAGGGGACGGGGCCGCAGGAGCAGAGAGGGAGCTCTACCGAGGTGCAGGCTTGGGG